TTTTCACAGTGGAGACAGGTAAATAGTGGTGTGTCCCCCAGGGATCTGTACTGGAACCAGTGCTGTTCAACATATTCATAAGTGATCTGGAAAAAGGAGTAAGCAATGAGATGGCAAAGTTTGCAGATGATACAAAATATTCAAGGCAGTTAAGTCCAAAGCTGACTGTGAAGAGTTACAAAGAGATCTCACAAAACTGGGTGACTGGGCAACAAAATGGCAGATGAAATTCAATGTTGATAAATGCAAAGTAATGTATATTGAAAAACATAATCCCAACTATACATACAAATTGATGGGATCTAAGTTAGCTGTTACCACTCAAGAAAGATCTTGGAGTCATCGTGGATAGTTCCCTTTAAATATTTGCTCAATGTGCAGCGGCAGTCAAAAAAGCTAACAGAATGTTAGGAACTATTAAGAAAGGGATAGATAGTAAGACAGAAAATATCATAATACCCCTATATAAATCCAGGCTACACCCACACCTTGAAAACTGCATGAAGTTATGGTCATCCCATCTCAGAAAGATGTATTAGAATTGGGATAAGTACAGAGAAGGTCAACAAAAATTATTAGGGGCGTGGAACAGCTTCCGTATGAGGAGAGATTAAAAAGACTGGGACTGTTCAGCCTGGACAAGAGATGATTAAGGGGGAAGATGATCGAGGTCTGTAAAATCATGAATGGTGTGGAGAAAGTGAACAGGGAAGTGTTATTTATCCCTTCACATAGCACAAGAGCCTGGGGTCATCCAATGATTTTAGTAGGGAGCAGTCTTAAAATAAACAGAAGGAAGTACGTCTTCACACAACAACGCACAGTCAACCTATGGAACTCATTATGGGAGACATGTGACAGCCAAAAGTATAACTGGTTTCAAAAGATAATTAGATAAATTCATGGACGCTAGGTCCATCAATGAGTATTAGCCAAGATGGTCAGGGACACAGACCCAAAACCTCTGACTGTCAGAAGCTGGGATTGGATGACAGGGGATGGATCACTCGACAATTACCCTGTTCTATTCATTCCCTCTGAAACATCTGGCACCAACCACTATAGGAAGACAAGATCCTGGGCTAGATGGACCATTGGTCTGACCTAGTAGGGCCATTATTATCTTCATGTATAACCTATCACTTCAGGGTTTGGCACATTTTGGACCGGATTCTTATTTTGCAAGTTAGTATAAATCAAATCCATTAAGTCAACTGACCTATTCCACTTGATAGTACTTCCTCCTACTCAACCTCTTCTCATTTCAAATGCCTCCTAAAAATCCAGATCTTCCCTGTTGTTGAAAAACATGAATTTATTATCACTCACTCCTGAGACCTGCTGCCCTCTCAAGTTATGGAACCTTTACATGGAACACACTGAGTAACCACATAATCTTTATCTTCTTATACCCCATCTCCTCTGTTGTTCATTACAACCTTTCCTTACATCATGGGTCAAATTAGACTGTATAATCTTTGGGGAAAAGGCTATGTCTTTTTCTTTTTCTTTTGTAAATAAAGCCACAGTAATCAAATTAAAGTTATTCCTGCACCGTAATTGAGAGCAGCATCTGGCCTTCTCTCTTGCTGTTATAGAGTGATGTACTTTCTCACCTGGCTGGCTCTCAGATGTCCTGGCCACCCAAAGAAAGGTGTAATGGTGTCAAGAAAAAAAAGGAAGAGAGAGGTGAAAAAAGAAAACTGGGACAAAAATGAAAGGGGGAAAAAAAAAACCCTTTCACACAAACAGAGAAGATCCAAGCAACAAAGGTTGGGTCTGATATTTCCCAAAGTTTGGGGACTGCCTCGGTGCTGGGGTTTTGGTTTGGGCCCATCTCTAGTCAACATTCCCATTATGATAGCAGTATATGTTTCAGTTGCTTTAACTGAGAGCCAATAAAGTAAAAGTAAAAAAAGTTCTAGAGTGGTAAAATATAATTATACTCATCAGTGACACATTAAAACTTAAAGTACTTTTTAATATTATTTCATGTTATTGTTCAGAGAAACGTAAAAGGCAGTACAATTAGCAATAACTTGAAATTAAGCAATTACAAAATCTTGATCCTTAAAGGAAGATCGTAGTGTAATATCAAATCATTTCTAGCCATTGCCTTTAATTAAATTTAAAAAGGCGAGCAAGGGCTTGATAATGCCAGGCACTGAATACCTCCATCTCCCTCTGACTGCAAGAAGAGCTGGGTGTGATTAGCACATTGCAGGCTCAAGGCTAAGTCAATTAATTTTTCCTCCAAGCAATTTAATGAAAAGGTGATAGTTAATAAACAAACGGAAAGCTAAAACAAAGAGTGCATAAAATTATACTCACAGTGTATAAAGTTAAGTGTGTGCTTGAGTCATTTCAGGATCTGGTTCTAATTTGATGGAACTACTTGTGTGAGTAAATTATACTCAATGGGGGAAATTCAGTACAGAGGGCCAGTAAATGTAAGTAATGTTTCCAGAATCAGACCCTGGCTAAATACTGTGAACAGACATAATGAAACATCACCAGGATTTCCAAAACACCTTTGGAATTCATTTTTAATATTGAAGCCTCTATGGTAATATTACAAATCCCTTTCAGTTTTACTTTATCTATTCAAACATAAATACTCCTCCAGCATAACGTGATTATGCTCGTAACATGAATGTCAATACTTCCCTTCGGGAATAGAAAAGGCACCAAACAATTTCCCAAACCAGAGAACTCCAACTGAAATTAGAGTCTTTGACTTTTGACCAACAGTCTTTGAATGTAATCTTTGAATGTACCTTTAATCTTTGAATGTACCTTTCTTATATCAAAACATGAATTATTTTTACACCACATATTATCTCCACTCCAGGTTTATTGTTCTGGAGAAAGTGTGTGTGTTTCGGGTGGTGGGGGGGAAATCAGTTTGTTACAAAGTGGAAGAGAAACCAAATGACTTTCTCCATGAACTCTAGGTGATGTATATTAGCTAACAACTCTAACAAAATCACAAAGTCAATGAAGTCAATGGGAGTTGTGCACACATAACTGAGGGCACAATTTGGCCATAGATTTTTAATAAGTTCAATCCTGCTCCCACTGTAATCAATGGGTGCTTTGCATTTGGCTTCAAAAGAAGCAGGGGGAGGACCAGTAGAGTTGGAAATAACACTGATAATACCAGGATAATATGCAGATCAGTCATTAGTAGTCACATGCCAAAAAGGATTCCTGACACCAGAGACCTCTACTGGTTTACTTACCCAGCCCTTTTATAGCTACCCACATGGATGATTGAGCTCTTACTGAATACGATGTGAACACAAGGACATCCATCCCAGCATCCTTTCATGTTTGTTTTAGCCAGGAATTGAGCTTGGTATTAGTCTGACAAGTTTTCAGGGAGCCACGTTTGAGAAGAATTTAATTCAATAAGTTCTTCCAGAATAGAGTCTCTCTCAAAGATGGTTTCAAACAACTTGGAAAATATAAAGCAGGATCTGTATTGAATGGCAAATTCAATATTATAGGATTATGCGTGAGCCATGTTTTATTTTTGCCTGCCATCAGACAAAATTATAATCTTTGGATTTCTTCCTCCGAGGTCCATTGGATATTAACAATTTTAACTCAGAAGCTTTAGCTGCCCAAGTATAGGACAGTAAAGTATCCATTTTAATTGACATAATTTTCAGAGAACAAATAATGTTGTAGCAAGTTCTGACAAATGATTTAATAGAGTGACCAAATCAATAGACAACTGTACTCAGGTCACACTGGTTTAACAAAGGCTGCAAATCTGAATATTTGATTGGACTCTCCAATGGTTTTAACTAGAAAAAAAGTGAAAGAACTGAAATGAGTATGACTTTACCCTTGACAGTATAATCCTATAATTTCCTCTGAATGACAAAAAAACAATTAAATGATTAGTGTGTTTTCAGAGGGGTCGTTATCACTAGCTACAGTTCCAGACATGCATTCCCTGTAATAATTTTCTTTTTTACAGTTTGATAGATAATAAAGCCCTCTGACAGCTTGTGGTTCCCAGCTATATAGTTGCACAAGGAGGGGAGACATAAGTGTTACATATGTATCTACTGACAGATGTGAACAGAAACCAAGTTCTCAAAACCTTCCATAGCAATAATGATTCAATATTGCCCCTGTCTATATCCATTTTTTGTCATGTATACAATTATTGGGCCTATTCCTGTGAGTTGCTGAGTAACTTTCCCTCCCACTGGAGTAAACAAGTATTGAGGGTGCTCAGCAAATTATGGTATCAGAGAGAAATGGCAAAAATACATAACTCTGTTTGCCAGTCATTTCAAAGGGTAGACAAAACATTCGTAAGTTTTGCTTTGACCTCCTTGAATTGTGATACATTCTTCTTCCAGCTTTAGCAATTTGAAAAGCTGTCAGCAGAACTTACTCTGGAGGGCTCCATATAGGAATCAACCCAATCGCCTCCCAAATGAAACAGTCTAAAGTTAGCTTTTCCCAAAGATGGGTATAGTCTCTTGACAAGGTATTTACTATCAGCACATCCACCTTCACAGGGATGTAAGCAGCTGGAAACTAGCACTGTACAAAGATTGCTTTTTAAAATGTCATACTGAGAATTTCCCTGTATAGTAACTAGAATTAGGCTGAAACCACATTTTGAACAGCGACTAGTGATTATGAGTCTCTGAATTTTTTGGTGCTCAATTTAAGACCCCTTGAAGGGTCCTGATTTTCAGAAGATGGGTGCTCAGCACTTTATGAAAAGCTGGCCCCTTTAAGGTGTCTTAAGTTGGGCACCCAGAATCACTAGTCACTTCAAAATTTAGGCCAGGATCTGGTTTTGGGAAGAAATTACTTCAAAACTGAAGGGGATTCAGATCTGAGATTCCAGTTCAGGCCCATCTCTAATAACTGCAATGTCAGAAAATAGTTTATTTTTAAATTTTGCCATGTATAGCATTTTGTTTTTCAAACTGGAGTACCATTTATATAATTTTGTTTTTTAATTCCAGATGACCCGAGAATATGCAGAGCATGCATTCACAATTACTATATGTAAGTTCAACTCTTTTAGCGTCACTACGTTTTCTGAACCGAAAACAATGCTCCTGAAGGTACTGGTGATGCCATACCAGTTAGCTTCAGAGTTGCTGCTTGAACAAAGAGGGGTTGTGGAGGAACTTTAAAAAGGGGGTGGGGAGATTGGTGTGGGGGAGAACCCCTCAAACACTAAAGCAAAGCATTATTCACTTGAGGATACTTAACACTTTGGTCTTAACTATCACTGACCATAATAAGCGTTGAGAAAATTTATCACCAAACAGAATCGGGTTGTTTTCATCTTTTCCCGCTCCTACCTAAGTCAATGGCAAAATCCCCAAAGGGAGCAGGTTCATGCCTGATATCTGATATTCAGTGGGGACAATAAACAGATCCAGCACTCTAACACTGTCAAGCTATTGAGATGAGCAGCCAATGGCATAACAAACAATAGCCTACATGTTTACCTGCTTGTGGGAAAGCCTTACTCTATTGAAAATGACAAGTATCCAGCCTCACATCAGTGTTCAGGAAGCTTTTGTCTTTCGGTACCTGATCCTGGAAATTTACCTGTTGGCAAATTCCAAAATTAATCCCCATATATGCTACAGTTGATATCCACTATCTACAGGGCCCGGTAATAAGTATTTGCAGTTGTAATTAATGTAATGATTGCAGTTAGAAAATACATATTACAATCTTCAACATTCATGCTGTAGATTAAGTAACATCCAAGATTAAAAACTGGCTGATAGGTCTCAAAATGTAATTGTAAACAAGGAATCATCATTGAGTGTATGTTTCTAGAGGGACTTCAGAAAAGATCAGTTCTTGGACCTACATTACTTAATATTTTTATCAATAACCTGGAAGAAAACAAAATCATCACTGATAAAGTTTGAAAGTGACACAAAGAACGGGATAAATGATGAAGAGGACAGGTCATTGATACATTTTAAAATCAAGATTGGACGTTTTTCTAAAAGACATGCTATAGTTTAACAGCAGCTATTGGACTTGAAACAGGAATTAATTCAAGGAAGTCCTATGGTCTCTATTATGCAGGAATTCAGATTAGATTATCACAACAGTCTCTTCTGGCTTTCAAATTTGTGGATCTATGAATCTATGTATACACATACATGACTGTGTGTACAAATATGGTGTAACGCATGTTCAGATGGCCAGTTATTATCAAGCAACTGCAATAAATGTACAAATTAGGCACACAATTGTGTGCATAAATTTTTTTAAATCAAACTTTACAAGTATATTTGAGAACCATAATATTAACAGACCTGGCTTTTAGAGTAGTGTTGAACTAGGTAGCTATTTAGTTTGTGAGTAATTGTATTACATCTGCTTAGGAATTACGTATGTTCACCACACTTACAAAAATGAACTCCATGACCTCACACAGATTTATTAAACTTACTAAAAATGTTCTGTCACTAGGTATAAGCAGCATTGCTATAAGAACTGCCCTGAGAACACCTACGATGATGAGAGTACTCTCCAGTGTATAGAATGTGATGAAAACTGCAACAGCTGTGACCAGTACGAGTGCTACTGGTGTAAAAAAGGCTTTTATCTCTTAGGTAAGCAAAGTAACAGGTAATGTACATATGCAGTGTCAAAAATTATTTGGGAGCCTTGCACTGAAAGCCAAAATTCGGACCTAATTCTCTGAGGTTCCTGAGCATCCTCTATAGATGTCATTGTGAATCAAGGGCACCTTGTAGAAGCAGGCCCTTTGTGTAAATACAAGGGATCTTTTGGTTCAAAAGTCCCAAAATGTTTGACTATGAATTCCAACTGGGATTTTTATTTTTAACAAGTGTTTGGCTTCAATCCCCTCTCTTTGAGCACGTACAGGAAAAGATTTATATTTGATAGAGCTATGTGAAACAAGGTGGTTTTAGTTCTACAGAGAGTCAAGCAAACCTTTTCTTTGCTTTTAATTTGTGTGACTTTGCACATTCTAGCTTAACTTTGACTTTCAGATCTGAACAAATAAACCTCAAATGTTCTGAGCAAAACCCAGTTAAAACCACTAAATTTCATATCAAACTCACACAAAACTAAGAATTCCTCATAAAACTATTAGCAGCCAGGGCTAATTCAGACAATATTTCCAAACCTGAACTACAGGGAGTCCCAAACATATGGCAGAGCCACCCCTCCAGTTCTGGGTGCTATGGAGCACAGCTTCATGCTGATAGAAATCTCTGTGGTGATAAGAGAGAGACCAAGGTTGCCTCGAGGTTACCATGACCATTGCTGGGGTACATTGTAAGTGCCTCTATTCTCCTGTTTAATTTGAAAGTCCTATCAACTTTTCTCCTGTCTCCTTCTGCAAACCTATATATTTCCATTTGTATATCCAATTCCAAACACAAGACCTGTTGCCCCCTACCTGATTGTGGGCATTGGAAGGAAGTCAAATTCAATTTTGGGCTTTGCAAGGAACCTCAGATTTGCTCAAACTAGCCCTGAGTCTATCTTATCTATTTTAGTGTTTACACTGCTGAACATCACCATGGTATCAGAGCACCTTCGCTGTGGTAGCTGAAGATCTGAATCAACCCAGGTTCACTCAATATTGACCCCACATTTGCTGGAATCTTAAAATTAATCAAACCTTGGGTCTAGATTTGGATCTTAGATGTTTGTTGTCCCATTTTAGAGGTAGGGTTCAATCATGAAATTCAGATCTATATCTGAACTTTGACAAGATGGTGAGTGTTAGTATTTTGAGATAGACTCAGCTCTATGTAAACCTTGGTAGAGAATAGCTTGAAAGATTTGTGAAGTTTTCTATAAGGACATGGGCTGAGTTTAAAGTTTGCAATAAAATTTAAAACCGGGGCCGGGGTGATGGGGGAGGCACAACAAAAATTTCACACTGTTCTACTGTTCTGTTTGTTTCTCTTAAAATTGCCTGAGAGAGAGTTCAGGGATATATGCCTTCCCCAATCTCAAGTAGCCAGGATTATTCAAAATACACAAGTCTAATCTTGGATGCTGAAACCTAAAGAATACAGTTTTGGAGCGGTAATGGGTCTCAGCTGCAGGATTCCCAATTGATTTTAATTTTCATTTCTAATTGGTTTTAATAGGAATCATAATACTGAAACCACACACAATCTTTCAAAATGTATCCCTGAATTTCCAACAGGGAAGTTGAAGACTAGAGATTAAATTTCACTAATAATCCTTAAGCACACAGTATCGCTGGTGTTGCTGTTCCCCACAACACCCAGAATGGATAGGTCTATAAAGCATTTCTTCATCTTGTGGTTCTCAACCTGTGTGAGTGATACTATGACTTAAAGGCTCTATCTATGTTGTAGATGGGAAATGTGTGAGTGACTGCGGGGCTGGTTTCTACAGTGATGAGGACTTTGCAGAATGTGAAGAGTGCCATAGGACCTGTGCAACATGTGAAGGGCTCAACTTTGATGACTGCACCAGCTGCAAAGAGAATTTACAACTACTGCATGGGAAGTGTGTGAATCCAAAAAACATGGTAGTGGAGGGGAAATTCTGGAATGGTATGTTGCTAGATCCTTTGATCCCTTTCATTTCACCCCCGTGGACTATTATGATTAGAAATGTTTAGAAAGGTATCCAACCCCTTGTTTTCAAGGTCTTATAGATTGGATAAAACTACCTTATATCTAGTAGACTGAGAAGTAAAGGAATCATACTGACTATGAGTATAAATCTGGTCACAGAGGGTGGAATTCACCCTTTGGCAGAGAGCCTAAAGCTTATGCACAATTTAAATCCAGTTTAGGCCCTATTTTTGAGGCCTTGTGTTGGCTCCCTGAACAGGGTTGAATTTCACTTTGAATGAAGTATAGAGTATATTGTAAGTAATTTAATGGATTCTCAAATTTAAGAATAACTATAATGATCTAATGGACTGAACACTGGATTTGGAGTAGGAGTTCTTGAAGTCTAGACCCAGCTCTGCCAGTAGCTTAATCTGTGACTGCCCAAGGTCACTTCAACTCTATCTCGGATTCCCCATCTATACACTGGAGATAATATTTTTACTCCCACAAGAGCATGGCAAGGTATTAATTAATGTCAGTGAAACATTCTGAAATGCAAAATGCTATTGCTGAGTATTAGTATCATTACTGGAACAGAGCAAATGATTTGATGCAAATATATATATATTATATCTTTTTTGTTTTCATGAACTACCTGCGAACAGATCACAGTACTTTCACATTTGTTCACTGTAAAAATTACTTACATATTTCTTCAGAAAATAATTCTTAATCTGTAGATGATTAATGAACAATTCCTTGTGACTATTGGTAATTTGCACTATGTACTGTGTTGGTATTTTTTTATTCCCGGTTTGCATGATTTATGCATCAAATCAAAGCAGCGCTACTTGTGAATTTTATGAATTCACTTTTTGTGAATATTTGTATACAAGCTTTAAAGTAGGCTTTTTAAAATGAAATTCACTGCCATGCAGAGGCCCAGCACAAGCCCTCTGCATGGCTTAAGTCCCACACTAGGGACTAAATAGGACTTCAATGAAGCATAGGCCTGCTACTGGCTGTCTGAATGGGCGTGAATTTCACCCTGTGTGAACATTCAAATTAGTAAAGCTCAAGTGCTCAGATGCTCATTGAAAGTGAACATGAGAGTCACAAACGTGGTCAAATCAAAATTTGCTTTTGATTCAAATGTATTTATATCGATTTAAAAGAGCAAAAACAAGAACGGCTGTCCTGAGATCTAGATGGCTTTGCCATTAACTAACATCTATATAATCCTTCTGCTAGGTGGTGTTGGTAGCAACAAGAAAATGTTCGCACTAGTAGCTCATCTCTAATTATTGTGTAATGTTTCCAAACTAATGTACTTCCTATCCATTAAAAGGTGTTGTGCCCAACAGAAGCATATTTCTTATCTGCAAAAACAATATATGTAGAGGCCCTGAATTTGCTTTTATTTGGCATCTAGATGCTTTCTTCTGGTTACAATTATCTATAACTATGAATAAATAATGACACATAGGAATTTTGTCTCATCTGAGGATCTCATTTTGTTCCACCAAGGCAAGTAAGTATTATTATTCCCATTTGATTCCCATTTATTCAGGACTGAGCCACAGGTAAAATGACATGTCCCAGGTCACACAGTGAGTCAGTGACAGAATAAAAACCTCAAGTCACTTCACTCCCACTCCCTGCTATAACCAAACAAAATACACAGCTAGCTGTGTCATGTTCATTAGGGTGGCAATCTAGTCAAAATCCCCAAACCCCCATAGTTTAACTCAATAACTACCACGAGTGCCTTTGAAAAAGCTTCTTAATCTTTTTATATTAAAAAGTATGCTAAAAAAGTGAAGGCAGACAGGATTGTGGCTGAGGTGTGTTGGACCTTGATCTCAACTCACAAATAACAATGCCATTACCTTCATCTCTGCTGGACTATGTCTGAGCACATGGATCCAGACAATGTAGCTGAAAATGTTACAATGGATTTAGTAACTGAATTGACCATTCATATTGGACAAGTTGGTTCATAACCAATCTTTTGAGTCTCCGTGAGACAAAAAACTTTTGTCTCAGTTTGGCTCCTAGACAAACAAGTTAAAGGGCACCATACCAGAGCATGCTAAGAGATAAGTCAATGTGAAGGCAGAATTCATTTACATTTTGAGAGATTAATGTAGGTAGGACAGGATTAAAATCGCTTTCTGGGTGTAGAGTATACATTTTTTGTATGTCTAACTTTCACTTCCATTTCTTGTATGAGGATAAATAGAAGACCAGAATCATGAATTTTCATGAGTATATAGACCAAAGTCTAAGACAGTGTGTATATAAAAACTTCCTAAATTATACTTATTTTGTGGGTACTCTGGTGGGCTAACAATTCAATTCCAAACTGGGAATTTGTTAATAAATCATATCAAGGCCTGAAATAAGGAAACAGAGCTTGTCTGGCATCCAGACATTTCAAAGGAAAGGCAAGCCAAGAAAAAAAAATGGTTGAGCTCTGTGTTTGTAGCTCAAAACATCTGTATTTTATCTGATGTACCAGATGATGAAATGACTTTGGGAGCCAGGAGACATACTAGTGTAGGCTTGATTCACCAAGTGATTACACACACCCTATCAACTGGACTAGACATTTTGCAAGCTGAAATCAGGTCTTAATTTTGCCAGTTCACTGGAAATACCACACCCTGAGCTTGTATGCTCCTCAGTCAGACAGTGTAGCCTCGCGTATTCTTTTGAGAGGTGCAAAGGACATGTTTCTGTTACAGATTCAACATGGAGTATGTGCCTCTTCACATGCAAATCATTTCAAAATAAAATTAGTCATTAATTATGTAAGGTAAGTATACAGCCAGTACAGCTCATATCACACATTGTAACACAGAATGGAAGTAGCATCCAAAAAGAAGCCATTGCGAAGTGTACTAGAAGCCTTACACCAACTGCATGTGCCTGTGCACATTTTCTTTCCCTAAATACCAAATTAAACAACAAGAATTAAAAAACATAACATGTTAATAGAGGGTTGGTGGGGAGAAGACAAAATATTCAGAAATTAGAGGATTACAGGAATTACAGGCCAGCTGGTACAATTCTTTATAGGTCCACTAATTTCAATGTAGCTATGTTGATTTACACTAACTAAGGATCTGGCTCTAGGTGTGCATTTTGTGGTGTATCTGGAAAGAGATGTGAGACTAGTGAGGGGATAGGGACTAGGGGATAAGGCAGAGAAATGGGGAATATGGAATAAGGGGGAGAGGAGGAGAAAAAAATCTAGATGGAAAATTTTATGACATTTACAGAGGAGGATTTAGCACCATAGAAGGAGGTAGGGGACTTTTTTAAATAGCATCCATATGTGAAATGTAACTCTGTCAGAGGCAGACAACACTTATTCACTAACCTATACATATTTTTCATCATCCCCATTGGAGTTGCATGCAGATTTTTTATTCGAGGCATTCATTCATTAAATTAATCTTATGGCTGTTATGTGATAACCAGCTTGGGAATTAATGGTTACTGGGGGTTGTGAATTACTTCTCACCTAACCTACCAGTACCCTTGAATTTATAATTCTCATAAGTCTTTGAGATGGGATAGGTTCTAGTATTTTATTACCTCTGTATATTGTTTTCATTATGTTTTATCATGTCTATTTAATTGTAATTAGCTTTTCGAGATATGTGGTCTATTTTATTCAGGGCTGTATCATTTTTGCAAGGCCAGTGCCATAAGCAGAATAAAATCTAACAAACTAAACAGCATCCCCACTGGAAACAACTGGCTTTCATTCAAATCACATCCTTACTACACAGTATACAGACCAAACAGGTCACCTTCTAAAAGTAATGTACACATGGTTACAACCCAGGCAGTACAGCTCCTTCTATGTGCCTCACTGCAGCAATGTATTGCATGTTTTTGACTTTGGGTTTACAAAAAAAAATTTTTTTCACAAAAAAAATCAGGTTTTCTTTAGCAGAACCTGCTGTATTTTCAATTAGGAAGCAAAGGAGAGTAATTGCAAATGTGGGTGGGGAGCCAGTTTGCTATCATGAACTGAAATAAATTAACTTTTTAAATCCCTTCTCCCTTATATATGAGCATAAATAAATGTGGTCCCTAAACAGAGAAAACAAATGTACTGAGTCCATAGGTGGTTTTTATAAATGTGAATAAAATGGTTTGATCCTAAGCTGCACAGGTGTGAAGGATTGTTGTGTGCATAAGCACAAGGTAAAAACTAACGAGCAGGCCAGGGATCACAGGGAAACCGACCATGCATTAATGAGAACTCTGCTGTGGCTGCCTAGCAGCATGAGAAAGACCAAAGAATGGACTGTAGAGCCCTGGAGAAGGACTGGGATCCCACAGGTCCCACTGCCATAATAGCAGAAGCAGAACTAAATATAGTCCCATACAGAGCTCTACTGTACAGCTAAGTAGCTAATTTGAATGCTGAGGATCGCATTTAAACCAATGTCTCTTCAGACACACCCATTCATCCTGCATTCTTGAAAGTGAGTAGGCATTCAAGAAGCTTCAAGTTTACTTTCACTCAATGTGAAAGATTACATTGAATATTTTTAAGGATGGGTGTACTCTTTCTTTAGGTCTGTAGCAGATGAGTCTAAGGGAAATCTTAAGTAGAAGCACGAGAAAGATAAAAGGTAACTGTAGGGACCCTCGACTTCAGTACCAACATGGTCAGGATATCACCCACTGTTATCTTCCTTAGAACAAAGTTCCTTGTTCAGTGTTAAAAGAAATCAATGCTTACTGTGATTGTTTATCACTGTCCCATGTCCTGTTGTTGGAGGTAGACTGACATTTTGAACTAGCATAAATAAGAAAGGAAGAAAATCAAAGTTGAGCCCTTCCTAAAACTTTCAGTTTGATAAGATCATGGAATGGCCTGAACAGATGGAATGCTACCCGAACTGCCATAAAGTTTAACTCAGAAGGTGGCAAAAGTACAAGTCGGTTCCCTAGTTTCTGCAATGGGGGAG